ATTGAAAACAGAGAATCTCACCTGCGCTCCAGGTCGTGCATTCACTAATCTGACACCTTAACTCTGGTCCGAGGTCATCTTCGCATGCATGAACTCCCGGCCGGCAAACATGCCTGACTCCAATTACGCTTATTTAGTGCGCGAACATATTCAATTCGTTTGAATTTGGAAGCGAAGTACCTTAAATAGTAATTTACACATCTAATTCGCGATAGCCTGTTTTCCTCACGCATAAACGCTTGTTTGCGACACGACCAAAGGGAGTGCCGCATTTGCGTGAAGGCGGGAAGCAGCATCACAGATCTGTTGTGTACAATATTTTTTGCAACGAATAAACCTTTAAACTGAAGAGATTAACTGTGAGTTATTTATAAACAGCGGCATTGACAGCGCCGTCAACACGTCACAATGTTGACACTACCCGACTATTTTAAGATGATGGTGGTCCAACTCTGACTTCGTTTTTATGGCTTTGCAATCTCAATTACCGCAAGTATTAGGAACTCTATTGAAACTGTAAATAGCCGTGCCAGTAGACAGTTCGTCCCTTGATGGTTTATAACAGCTGGATTACCTGCGACAGAAGCCTATTGTGGAACACTTAACTCCTTCACAATAGGATGCAGTCATAAAAACGAACCAACAGTTGCAGCACTTTACCATGGCAACGGAAAGTTAAAATGCACGTGTGCGGGAAGTCCGAACCCCCGCACCGTGGTGAATGCCCGAAACCCATCAAAAAAGCTCAAGTGCAAAAAATTGTTTTAATAATTGTATCTAGAAATACATTTTTAATAATATTGTAAAATTTTTTGCGACACAAAATTCTGCTATTATCTTCTTTACTTATTACAGGTCTGACTTCTGACTTATTTAGTTTAACGTTTGTTTCTATTTGCCTGGATTTTGAAATTGGAATTTAAAAACGGGACAGTTAAAATTTATGAAAAGTTTACAATGGGTGCTCTTATCAGTTAAGGTGAGGGATTAAGACACTCCAGGTACCAGTGTAACGCTCACTGAAAATCCGACCAGAACAGGTAGAAAAGACCAAAGAATGGTTTTATTAATATTTTGTGTACAGGTAACAACTGAAACTATTTGTTTTTTTATAAAAACAATTAAGATTTCCCAATATTCACTTCTGTTTTAATTAGAACAAGCCCAGATATCCAACAATGCTGAGTTCACTGAGTTCACTAATGGTCAAGTGACATTCAAAGCGCTGTTTGTATGTACGCAGGTAAATAATAACACAATGATATTTCGAAAATACGTCGGTCTCTTCTACCTAGCCTGGTCTTATTACTTCGCCTGGCTCAACTGAATCTTGCTCCTGTGCAGGTGTTTATTCATAAATAAAAGGGTAATAAACATTATTTGACAGAAGTTTATACTTTTATGGTAACCCGGTGGCTTGAAAAGTTAGTTAGAGCAATCACCTAGTTTTGCTCAGACGAAGAAGAAATGAATTTCGAATAATTCCCAGTCATTACAGGTAAACTGGTACATCATTTTATTATCCGATGCAGTTTACATGTGATGCCATGTTTATCATAGTTTACGTAGATATCTACATAGATACTTTGTATTTGGTATATTTCGTATCGAAATATTAACGTACACTTTACTGATAAATCAGTAGTTAGGAAGATTCATTTTTTGACTTATAGGTACTTTCTGATAGCTTAGACAGTGTTACAAAATACGTATCAGATAGGATTTTAACTATCCGTTAATTAGCACAGATTACTTTTATGTGTAGTACATGTCATATATCCTTTAATTTGACCATAATCTGAAAAATTTAATGACGCATAAAGCCGTATTTTTGTTGCAGAATAAAGTCCAAATGCGCTCATCAAAGTATATATTTACATGACAGCTGTTGCGCAATATAAATATCCGTGGAACACATTAGTTTTGTACTAATGCTAATATCCGCTATTTAAACTATAGCATGTAAAAAAATTAAGCAACATTTTGCAATTCTTAAAAGGTTAAATTTTAATTTCCTCTTGTCAGTGAGTAATCACCCAATTATTTAATATTCATGCTCTATATAATTAGCCATGTAATTCGTGGTTCATGAGTAACAATGGTTTTTATTTCTTCATGGTCGCGGTTGATCCACACAGTTAACCGCACGCGTCATAACGTAATTTTATTTGGTTCAATGTCAGGTTCATTTTAATGTGGGAATTCAATTAAAAGTGAAAACAATGCACGATGATCGCAACAATAGTGTTTTATTAAACTAAATTTCTGTGAAAATAGCTATGAATAATACACCATTATCGTAATCTTAAGACAAAAATGTAACACTCGTCTGATCTAACGTTGAAATCTAATACGTTTGTAGGTTTAAACATTCACTTAAATTATAAACAAAAATAAGTCACTTTAAAATAATAAGAAAATACTAATAAATAAAAAATAATTAACTATATAGTTCACTTTAAAATATAATAAAAAAAGTTAACAGACTTGGTAGAAATTATATAGGTATAAATCTAACTTTGTTAGATAAGTAAAAAATTAATATTACAAAAGCTCTCTTATATCTTAACATTTTACAACACTTAAATAAATTTTATTATTAGCGTGACCAGTTCAAAATCACCAAAATGCACGTATTAGTGAGGTTTATAAATAACAAAGCCATGCATAGACAATAATGTAGAACTTGTCTGATGTAACGTTTAAATCACCCGCTAACTGACCCCAGAAATGCTTTATTTAAATATAGGTACATTCGTTAATCAATTTTACAGGGGACTTATTTTTAGATTTTATTGACAAATAAGCGTCACGATAATGAATTATAAAAGATAATTGTCATCTAAAGACTTTATTTTTAATCTTAAGTATTAATTGTTTGTGGAAGACCATATAAAATCCTGTTTATTTAAAAAATGAGTAAGTTGTTCGTAAACCAATCAAAAGTCTGTGTAAAATTTCAGTTTTTTTTTTACTATAGGCTGTATGTAAAATTTATCCTTTTGATGACAGTAACTTGTTTTTTCTAAAAATAAAGTACTAAGTATACTGCACCCCTCCAAAAGTTCACAACTTTTGTGTACATACAACTGAAAATCGTCAGAAAAAACTCAACACATGTTAACATTAAAGTAATAATTTATTCATTTCTCATGTTGTCCATAAGAAGTAATGTTTTAACTCAGTCAAGTAAGGTGCAGCTGGAAACTAGACCAGTAGTACTAGTAATTAAAACATTGTCTATACAGCATGTGCAGAGGCTGTAAATTGGGAATGAATCAAAGTAATTTAATTAAGTTAATTAATTTAAATTAATAAAATAAAGCAGATTTGAATGCTGCACATTCTAAACAAAACTTTTCTTAGCTTACTTATTTTTTTCTAGTTGATGAAAAATCTTATTAGTTTTTGTTAATTCAAAATAATGCAATGTGTTGTTAATATCTATAGTTTTTTGTAAAGGACACCTCAAAAAAAGAGATAGTCATTTATTAACGTTGCTTTAGTCGGCTAAAATTGCCAAATTATTGAAAAGCGTATTACAAATGAATTCTTTAAATATTGGTGCTAAAGTTAATTTGGATTAGAGTAAGCAGATCACAGTATTAAAACAGTTTTTACTTAGTTCTTCATTAATCCAATGAAACTACTATATCAACATGGAATCTACGACAAATGATGGCAAATCTCAGTAAAAATAGTAATAATAATATAATAATTTAATAATCTAATTCATTGCCCAACAATACAAGAATGTCAACAATAACAGATAATTGGTATTAGCAAGGTTAGGGTTAGCTATTATTAATAATTCTCAATAAATTACAGTATTTTCTTTTTTGGTGCAAAAATTGATTACTCTTTTGTAGATGCACACATATTTAAATTTTGGACAGAATTTGTTCTGTGTAAGATACCCAGGAGATCCTTAAATAACTAAAATAATAAATTAGAAAAAAAGCAACATTTTTTCTTACGACTAAATGTCTGTCTTCTCAGCATTTCCATAGTACATAGAATAAAATTTTAACATCGAGTTTAATTTAATATCTATATCAACTAAAATAATATCAACTTCAATTTTCATTTCTACATATCGAGTCACATCCTTAAATACGCTCTTATAACTATTACTGCTCATCTCATCTCACGGCATCAGTGTGCCCCATTTAAAAATTACGGCTTTCAAAATTTAGGGATGGTCAAAATTATGTTGTATTAAAATACCGAAAATTATCTCCTATATTATTAAACTATCCTCAATACACTGTTTTTAAAACATATCAAAACATATTTGACTAAAAAATCATTTAATTAAGTAAATAAATTAATTTTTAGACACTAAAATTAATTGTTCTTTATTACTATTTAACAATTCCTGAGGTAACAATAGTTTATATAAGTATTTCTATATTTCTGTAAAGTATCAATTTATGTAGTTGTATTTTTTACCGCTAAGTTATCTTTATGGGTGCCTAACATTTCTTGTTTATTTTGAAGTGACTCAAATTTCTTTAGCATAAATAAATTAATATTATTATGCTTTTTTCTGAACAAACAATGTGACTTATTGTACCTACAAGATCTTCCGTAATATTCTATTTCTTATTATTATTATAAAACTAAAACCAAAATGCACACAAATTAATAAATCTTAAAAATGGAGAAAAAAATATTATCGATCTTATTAAAAAAAGCCATGTAAACAATAAATATATCAACACTGCTGACGTTAAATATCAGATATCCAAAGTCGAACTGAAACAACAGTAAGCAGCTTAAAAATAGACCATAAGGTTCGTACAACATTCCCCACCATTAGAATCACACCAATGACTTGAAACTTATTACATAAAAAAAGAAGATGCCTGTCTGTACGACACTAATTCAAACATCAATATTTTACCCCTCCTATAGCCCCCACTCGGTGCGAACGACTATCTTCAACAGGTAGAGAATCCCCTCCCGGCAGCGGTATCTCAAGTTGGAGGAGTTTCCATAGTCATTCTTCGTTTGATCTTCGTTGTGGTGCATTACCTTACCCGCAGGCAACGATTGAGGACACCCCAACTACAACAATTGCCGTCACTTCCACTTATTACACCATTCCCTCTAATTAGAACTTAGTCAATAAATGAACTCGATCCAGCGAGTGTTAAGTGATTAAAATAACATCACCTAAATTGTGGGATTTCAAAATTAACACCAGTGAAAGTGTAGTTGTTTTTGTTATTAACAAGTGTTAAATCTTCGTTTATTAAACTAGAGCAGTCATTAGTTCGAATCATGTGTAAAGTGATGTCCGCAAGCTAGTGCTTCGTGTACCGCAGGACCTTGCAAGGACTTTGTCACAATTGCTATTCTAAGGTAAGTTGCATTTATTTACTTTATTGCTGGGTGATTTCAATGCGCAGTTAGACGCAAGTCCTAAAGAGACTGTAATGATTGATCAGGCGGGAAGCACATTCAGAGTAGATAAAATTCTTGTTACCTAAAAAAGCAGCAAAATCTTTTAAACAATATTTAATAACTGTGTATTAATTATGAAACTTTAGAATTTAACATAAACGTAATAAACATTTCATCTGAACATTTAACGTGACCTTTATTGACAAAATATACATCAAAATTAGGGGTATTATACACTGATGTATGTCATTTGTTGTCATTAATTAAAAACATCCCAAAAATAAAATATGTAAGGTACACAGTACACACTACCCATCCGACGGAATTAAAATTTATGCAAATATGAAAGATGAAATTATTTCAAAAAATATTTAAGAACTTAATCTGTTATAATGGCACAAACATATCAGTACCAGTTTGTTAGTAAATAATGCAGCCTACGCGCGAAAGCATTATTATACTATTTATATTTATATTTCATATATTAGTCTACCATTGTAACTATATGTTTAATAAATGCTGTTATTATGAAATATTTTAGGTAAAACGGGACAATTTTCTTACTGATTATTATTACAAATAGTGTACCTATTTCTAAAAGTATTTTATGTATTATTAGGTATATTGTCAATTAAAACTATATATCAATACCGTATTTTCATATATTGGAATTAATATAATTTAAAAACAATAATTGTAAAACAAACACAAACAACATATATTTATTAATTAAGCGCATTCCGTAAGATTTCAAAATTGTCAGTGACAAAATCTTTCAAAATACTTGAGTTAAATGTTTATTACAAAAATGTTATTGTGTGTACAGAAAGCAACACGTCACTACGGTGTTGACAATATACGATTTGAATCTTTTCTGAATGAACTTTACCTAAATGACCTATATTAGAAGGTGGTATTAACAAGTATATTTAAAAGTAGTATTTATTTTTAATTTTGTTACAGATTTTGCTTATGTTTGTAATTATAAATAGGTCATGTGGGTTAAGCATTTTGTGATGCAGTTATAGTTTTTTCTATACCCTAATTTTAATAAATCATTTTCTGTTTTCAAATTACCAAAAATAGGTAAACGTAAGAATTTCTCCAAATAAATGTGTGACATACTAAAGAAAGTATGCTACGAAAATATAATTTTATTTGTCTACAGCATTAACACATCAGAAATTAGTCATGTTTTTATTAAGTTTATCGGAACACAACCTCAGGCGATCTGAAGTAAGTAAGCACATAATCAACATGGTAAAAACTGAAGATTCCCACAGTTCAAATCCTGTAACGAATATGCTGCGGTTAGATTTGTGACATACATGATTTTCGCAGAAGAAAATGACCAGTTCGTTTCTGCTAAGTTTAAATTTGATGTTATTATATAATAAATAGGAACAATGTCTAATACACATAAGCATTAATACGTGGAAAATGAATCACTTATAGGACTTTACTAATAAATATGTAGATACCTTAAAAGTTTCTATCCTAAAATAATAAGGAAACTGGGTAGCACCACCGTTCACTTATATTTATGTTTTATATTTGCATTATTTATTGGGTTATGTATGTGCTCTTCAAAGGGATATTATAAGACTTCTTGTTGTCCCTTCTTTTTAATACCACCTGTCACTTTTATTATTTCACGTAGGAATCTTTTCCATATGAAAATTTTAAGGGTAGGTAGTCACAGGCATATTGGTCTGTATAAAAAAGGTATTGACCAATTTATTTAAGAATTCCATACACACAGAAAAAACAATAAAATAATAAAATGCAAGGGACACTCAAACCCTTGCAACAATTTTTCATACTAACTATATTTATTTTATTTCTAGTGATTTACAGATTACTTAAGGTTTTTTCACATTTTTTTTTTCTATTTTAGGGTATATGTATTAACGAATGAAGGTTGTTTTAAAAGAATAATAATATCGATCGCGTTAAAACTCTGACACAACCCTCAATATTTTATCAGATTCGTTTAAGCGTTTTTATCTAATCTAATCTAGACCTATACCTAATTTTTAGTTATGTTTTAAACAAATTTTAAAAAAGTAATTCACTAATATAAGTTTCAACAGAAACTGTGGATTTTATATATGTACGTATTTTGGAATCTTCTTCCATTTTTCGGTACACGATAACACTTTAACGTTTATTACCTCTATAACACCGAAAACATAAAATTACAAAAATTGTCGACACGTTTCGCTAACCTAACAGGTTAGTAATGCCAACGTAGTTGGCCAAAAGCGTTTTTGTAATTTTGTATTTTCAGTTATTCATCATCCAGTGTTTAAGAAATGGCATAAATCTGAAAAACGAGTGGCCCCAAAAAGTATTCCCTTGTAGTCAATATTAGGCCCATTGTTTTATACAGTGGACATCAAATTTTGGAGTATTGAAACTGACAAGAGACCAAACTGAAGAAGCGACATGGATAATTTGGAAAAGAGCATGGTTCGATACTCCATTATTAGCACCATTAGCTGCGTTGGCTAAATGCATGAATGATAAGATGCAATGAAGATAATATGTTATTATGATCTAAGGCATATCTACCGATCCTCAAAGAATTTTTAATACGTAGACAAGTATTTGCGGAAAATATTACAACTGGACTTGAAACACAACAGCTAAGATTACTTTTCAAAATATGAAATTATGATTGTCACTGTTGTATAAGTATATTTCCACATCAGTAACATTCGTTAAAAAAAGGTAAGACATTATAACTAGACAAGATCTAACTCCGAAAATATTAATTATGCTTACACTCAGAAAACTGTTTATTAATCACTTATTGAAACTTTCAATAAACTTCCAGTGCTCACACAACCATTAGATATTATAGTGCTGTGAAGTATAGTAAGTGAAGCAGGAAAACGTATTATGTATCAAATTTCAAAGTGCAATGTATGTACATTGCACTTTGAAATTTCTCTACGTATCTACTTTACCTTTTTTTGACTTAGTCGGTCCCTCAGTAACTACGAGTATGTGATCAACAAAAAACATATTCAGACTGACTTTGGGCAAGCAGCTTGTTTTTTTTACGTACTATTTACTCTAGCAGATGAGAAAAAAACCTTGCTTGTTCAACGCCAACTTGAAGACATTGTTTTGTGAACCACAGCCTACTATATGAACCACTAAATCATTATTATTATAAAAGAAACTTTATCATCCATCGTAGAGGCATGCTCCTAATTACTTGTGTATTTTTTTCAGTTTTACACTATTTTATTATGAAAATGGTGTTATAGAATTAAGACTATAGAATTGTTTACACCACTCAATTTTTCACTTTTTGGATGCTTTAAACATATTTTATTCTATTTTAGAGTCATGATCTTGTTTATAAACACTCAAATGCGGACATAAATTGGCCTTTATGGCACAAATCAGTCAAAAATTGCTAAGCAATGATTGATTATTCATTTACATTAATAAATTAGTCAAACAAGCTGCGTTATTCAGCATTTTTATTAAAGTTGGGAAAATAATATTTTATCAAATCATTCCCTGGCCGCCTTCAAATTTTTCTAAAAAATTTTTTGAATAAACGTTTTCTGCTTCTTCAGTTTGCATTTTGAAAATCGAATTATTTAACAAATTAACAACGTGGTATCCAGAACAACATCAAAATAATAGCCAGATATGTATTAAAGTTTGCATCGGCACAATTTACACAATCTTGCCGAAAATACTCAATACTTCGTTAAAAATATTTTAGAAACTAAATAGAATAAAACGTTGTATGTACCACGGGCATAATTGTCGATTGTGGCCCTCGGGAAATTAAAAGCCCTCCTTCGTCGGGCTTTAAACATTCCCTAGTGCCATAATCTCCATAATTATGCCTTTAATACATAAATAACTATTACATGTTAAAACGACATTAATTAACAATGGCTTTTCAGTTACGTCCGTCGCAACAGCTCATCTTCCAGTTTAACAATCTGGGTTTTTATGGTTCATTTAAATAAATTCTAGTCATTTTAGTAATATTTAATGCCTCATAATATCGACACTCCTTTCAATATTACTGAAAGCAAGGCACCACTAGTATTTCATAAAATTCAATTTAAAAAATAGGGGATTGAGCTATAGCTGTTTCAATTTAAGTAGCACTTTTTTATATAAAACTTGAATTTCGTGACCTAAAGTATTATTTTGCGCACTAGTTGGACATATGACTATTTCAACAATGAAAACGATTTTTTATTTAGTTTACAGTGTGAGCGACAAGCACTAACTTAAATTAAACGGTGTACTATCACAATTAAGAATTTTTTTACAGAAAACATTTTTTTTAATTCTAGCAAATAATAAATGAAAAGATTTCTTTTATTATTGTAATTATCTGAATTCTATGCGAAATGTCACAATTAAATTTCATGATAATTATACAGTGTGTACTCCAAGAACAGTTTATTCCAAAATAGGAACCTATGTATCATATTTTTAATAGCTAATCAGTGTGATATTAATTAAAGTCTCTTAAACATATTATTTATTCAATTAATAACCAGTTCGAATAATATTCTAATTTATCCATAAACGTTATTTTATTAATTCTTTATTGAAGTAAATTTGAAATCTGAAACTGCTTTATTTCTCAAATTAATGCAATATGTACTTAAAATGCCGCAAATAAAATATTTTAGTGTTAATTACTAAAAGTAATTATCGTAACACGTTTACTAACACCCTAATTTAGATTATTTTAACAAATTTTCCTAATTTCAAAAATAATTCGTTCTCGTTTTTAAATTAAACGAGTATTGTGTTTTTCGAATTATAATTATACTTAATTATAATTATAAGTAAAAATAGAAACTTTCAAAATAGGTGTGAATGAATTTTTAGCGAGGTGAGTTTATAATTTGCAAAGAAAGTTATTTGCTATACAGTTATTTAATTAATAGATCTCATAACATAAG